TTCTATAACTGCATTTTACTTTGGATCACTTTTATTTGCTTGGTTGTTCCCAGAGGGGCAGTTTTATGCTTGATTTGCAATTGATTTTGCTGACTTGGCTTGGTGAGGCAGCCAGTGAATCCCATGCTCCTCTGTACTGGCTCCTTCTACGTGAGCTCCTCACTGTGACCATTAGGAAGCAAGGTCAAAAGGAGCCATGTGCAATGAAAGAGATGTTGCCTCCACCTGGTATGCTGCCTGATGGTTGGGCAAACACGTCTTAGTGCTCTGGAGCCCACAGCACTTAGTGTTATCCCCATTCTGGTCATGGCACTCCACCTCTCCTCCACATGCTCCTCAGTGTTGTGTAAGGGTGTGGGCTTGGTCCTGACTCACAGGGAAGAGGAGATTTGTATCCTATGAGTCAGTAGCACTACTTCCTGCTGGCACACTTGAGATTTCACTGGCACACAACCTTTGAAAGGTTCACCTTTGAAAGGTGAAGGCAGAGAGACAAATAGGTGAGCCTCACACTCAAAACTCATTTGGAAATTTAACAAAAATAATGGCTTCTGAAGGGATTTTGACTTCCATAGCTGTATTTTTTTTTTAAGATTTATTTATTTGAGAGTGTTACAGAGAGAGGAAGGGACAGAGAGAGAGAGAGATGTCTTCCCTCTGTTGGTTTACTCTCCAGATGGCTGCAATAGCCAGGGCGGAGCTAGGTTGAAGCCAAGAGCCAGAAGCTTCATTTGAGTGTCTCATGTGGTTGGAGAGACCCAAACACTTGGATCACCTTCTGCTGCTTTTCCCAGGCTTAGTAGGCAGCTGGATTGGAAGTGTACATCTGGGACTCGAACTGGTGCCCATATGGGGTGCCAGAAAAGCAGGTGGCAGTTTTACCCACTATAGCCATAACACCAGCCCCTTGTAGCTATGTAGAAATAGAAATTTCAGCTGTCAATTTTAAGCTCACCTATATCACAATGTATAGAATTCCTCTGTATCTCAATCTCCAAGTAGGGTCTCCCACCAGATCTGGTTTTTACACAGACCCTATGCAGTCTTTACTGCCCCACTGAATTATTTTCTTAGCATGTATTCATTATCAAGAGTCAAAAACTGAAATGTAGTACTTGAACCATAGAGATATTATGTTCAAATTACACAAAAATCATCAACAAAAGTGAAAAACTAAGGAAATACATTCATTCCACTTTAAAATAATGAGTAGTGACTCTGCAGGGTGGCAGGATGGTGGGTGGACATGTCATTCTGATTATCCCCACGGAGGCACAGGAAAGAATACTTGAGAAACGCTATTGTGGAGCTGTGCAGGTGGACACAGGATTTAGAGCCAATTTTATTGTATTCTTGGCTCCATACCAATAGATTTAGGATGGAACTGCAATTACACACTTTCAGAGAGGTATTAAAATTCTTTACAATTTCATCTGTAAACTATTCTGCCTTTGGATTAATATAGCAAGTCTCACAGAAACTGTCCTGAGCTATGGACTGTGTCCAAGGGAGCGTCCCAGGTAAGGAAAGCCTAGTTTTCATGGAGGCACACCCTGGGCTGAGCATTCTTCAAATAACAAAGACAAATATTTCACCTGTGGCCTGAGCAACTGGAACAAAATTTCCAAAATGGAAAAACTAACAACTGCTAAAATCCTTAAAAAAAAAAAAAATGGAAGAGGAAGAAGCAACACCTCCAAACAATTAGCTGGATTCTCTAATAGAGTTTGCAGTGGTGAGCAATTCTGAACACGAAAGGTTAGTCTTTGTTTTTTTGTTTTGTTTTGTTTTTTTGTTTTGTTTTGTTTTTTTTTAAAGGATGGGGAAACTAACTTCAAATATCCATTTTTCCCCCACTGGCTGGCACTTTCCTAGAGGGAGAATTAGTAATGGCCGTTCCAGAGCTTTCCTCTGTTGAAGAAGCATGGAGGAAGGGGAGTGGCTTGTATGTAGACACACACAAGTAGAGCTCCAAAGCCTTGAGGAGGTTGTGTCACAGGGATTATTTCTTTAGCAGTGAGAATACATGGCAAAATTGTATTGAGAAGTAAAACAAAATTGACTTGGATGATTATTTAGCTCTTCCTCTACAAAAAAACATAATGAAAATAGTTTTCATCACTGTTTAGCTATCAATGAAACCCAGGCTCTAGCCACTTTTTTCTTTGTCATTTAAAAAGATGTTGATTTTTTCTTCTTTTTCTTAATCTGAGAGTAATTGCAGCAGCTCTCAGATATCATGGGGATGAGATTGTCCTAAAACTCTAGAAAACAGTTTTCAAATCATTGAAAGTGTATGAGACTTACGATCAAAAGATAGATTCCTAACTTGTCTTCTGTGGTCACTAGATAAGAGGTCTTAGGCAAAACATTTAATTTAAATGCATTGAGGTTTTTTGAGCTAAAAACTACTTCGAAAGAGGTGCCAAACTTGCAACATAATACAAACTATGATTTCTGATAATGTGAAATTTGGTTTTAGAAACAAAAGAATAATTAACTTATTTAAAAGACTCCTTTGAGAAAAAATATAGAATTAGTATATTATATGCATTAATTCATTCTATTAAATCCCAAATTATAGGGGCCAGTGCTGTGGTGTAGTTTGTAAAGCTTCCACCCGCAGCACCAGCATCCCATATGGATGCCGGTTCAAATCCCGGCTGCTCCACTTCCCATTTAACTCCCTGATAATGTGCCTGGGAAAGCAGCAGAAGGTAGGCAAAGTCCTTGGGCCCCTGTACCCTTGTGCACTCAGAAGTTCCCGACTCAGTCCTGGCCATTCTGGTCATTTGGGGAGTAAACCAGCAGATGGAAGCCCTCTCTCTCTCTCTCTCTCTCTCTCTGCCTCTTCCTTTCTGTAACTTTGTCTTTCAAATAAACAAACAAATTTTAAAAAATCCCAAATTATAAAAAAAAATTATGATCTTATTATATACCAGTAGAGGGCACTACTCACATACTTCTAGGACTGGAGATTGATGTTGAGTGTCAAGGAATAGTCATGGGAGTCTCTGTTATATCAAGACATTTCAGAAAAGTATCATTTAGTTTCATTCTCTCCAAAACTATGTAAAGTAGAAAAAGTTAAGACTTTTATTTTATGAGTCATGTGGCTCATGTTTTCTCCTGAAGTTGTCTGTCTTTCTGCCATTGTTTATAGCCACTCCTTGAGGTTGAGCACCTGTTCCATTGACAGCTGCCTTCCTTTGTTCTAGTGATTTACACTCTAGTATTATTACCCACTTCAAAGTTCTGAACTGTGCCCTATCAAACAACATGTATCCAAGATATTTAAGCTCTTTAATTTCAATTTTCTCATGAGTGCAATAGTAACTACCTCATTCAGTGAGAGGATCAGATGAGATAATATATGCCAATGGAGTAGAACCATGCCTAGCACAGAGTACACAGCTCACAAAATGTTAACTGCTGCTAACTCACCACCATCACCATTACTGATATCTGTAATACTACAAACAGTTACTCATACTAAGTTGGAAGAGTGGTTGAAGTGCACATACCTGAAACTTAAACAGAAGAAGCCAAATGCTCTTAGGAAATGTGTGTACAAACAAAATAATTCTTATCTTTTTTTGTACAATTCACAAATGACTTGAGTCACTCTGAAGCCTATTTTCCAATATTTATCTTTTCACTGGAAATACATGGAACAGATGGTTCAGACTCTTGCTGTCCAGGCAGAAACTGGATCATAGGGCTCAGTGTGGTTTGTGTGGCACGATGGTCCTTCCCATGTTAGATGAAAGATGAGTTGACCCTCTGTATACTCAAATTTGAAAACTTTGGAAAAAATCATGACAGTACTGCACATGTGCAAACTTTCCTTTTCCTTACTCTCTGAACAGTACAGTATCATGACTATTTATTTTGTGTTTGCATTGCTTTGGATATTATGTGTATCTAAGGCCTATTATTATATTATGAGATCTAAGGTCTACAGGATTGCATGCAGGTCATATGCAAAAAATACATTTTTGTGTAGGAAAAACATTCACATTCATACATTTTAGTCCCCACAGGACATCCTAGGACTAATTCCATGAGTATGTCAAGGAGTGACTGTATTCTGATTTTACTTCAATTACATTTTGCTAATTAAAATCCATTTTCCTGTGTAGTACATTCAATGCAATGAGTAACTTAGGCACTTGAAGAATCAACAATGGATGTATCCCAGGATGTGTTTCCTGTTTATTTATTACCATAACTAGAAGCTCATTTTTATTTGAAGCCTTCTTTTGTAATGTGACCTTTTCTTAAGATTGTATTTATTTATTTAAGACAGAGTTACAGAGAGAGAGAGAGAGGGAGAGAGAGAGAAAGAGACAGAGAGAGAGAAAGAGAAAGAAAGAGAGAGAGAGAAAGAGAGAGAGATCTTCCATTTGCTTGTTCACTCTCCAAATGGCTGCAATGGCCAGGACTCGGTAAGGCTGAAGCCAGGAGCAAGGAAGCCCATCCAGGTTTCCTAGATGGGTGCAGGGACCAAGCTCTTGAGCCGTCTTTGGCTACTTTCCCAGGCTCATTAGCAGGGAGCTGGATTGGAAACACAGCAACCAGGAATCCACTGGTGGTGGCTTAACCTGCTGCACCACAATTCTGGTCCATTTTGACGGGATCTTCTTTGGAGCATCACTCTGAACCTATAATGGAGTAAAACAGTGGAAATTCCCCAATGGCTAAGCTTCTTAGGAAATAAAACTTCAAAATTAGGCCTTTGGAAATGAATGTTATGAAACATTTCAGGTCAAAGCTTAAGTATGACTGCAGTGTCACAGATTTTACCTTTGGACAGAAGAGTTAGAAGTTCCTTTATTTTCAGTTAAATGCCTTTTTCCACGAACTGTTTTCTTTTACAGTTTTAAAGGATCAAATACTTGCAACAACAAAGTGTTATAAATATGGCATTTGCATTGAAATCCACTTAAGATTTCTTTTCTTGAAACATTAATTCGATATTTATTTTCCTCCACAAATAGGTTTCCATCTTCTACAAGCAGTTCTTGGTACCACCGTAATTCCATCATGTATCCCGGGAGAAGCTGAAGACAATTGTACAGCTTTAGGTAAGCCCAGCTTCATCTATGTTACATCAAAGGACTGCATGGTTTATAACAGAATTGTAAGCTCCAAGACTATAAATACACAACAATGAGAAAAGGGAAAGGATTTGCAGTTATTATATGCATTTTTTAACCTCCTGGTGATCCAGAGTTCTGGAAAATTTTGTAAATGAGTAAGTAGTGTAAAGGGGGCCAAGCATCTAATTACAGGTAAAAATTGGATCTTAAAAGACAGAACAAAGAAAGGCCAATTGCTTTTGGCCATTCCCTGGAACTTTACTGTCACATAGGCAGACTAGATTGCAAGCAAATAGAAAAATGTAACCTTGGTACTATTTCTCTCTCTCTCTCTCTCTCTCTCTCTCTCTGTGTGTGTATATATATATATATATATAAACATATACATAGGTACATACAAGTATATAATACTATATTACGCTATATGATATAGCATATTACACACATATATAGAAAAGAAAGAAGTCAGGTCCTTCCTTTCCAGCCACAGTGGCTATTCAGCAAAACTTTGTGAAGTGCTTAATATGTGCCAAACATCATACTGTGGCTGCAAGATACATCAGTGCCAGCCCCGCGGCTCACTAGGCTAATCCTCCACCTTGCCGGCACACCGGGTTCTAGTCCCGGGCGGGGTGCCGGATTCTGTCCCGGTTGCCCCTCTTCCAGGACACCTCTCTGCTGTAGCCAGGGAGTGCAGTGGAGGATGGCCCAAGTGCTTGGGCCCTGCAACCCATGGGAGACCAGGAGAAGTACCTGGCTCCTGCGGCGGCCATTGGAGGGTGAACCAACGGCAAAGGAAGACCTTTCTCTCTGTCTCTCTCTCTCACTGTCCACTCTGCCTGTCAAAAAAAAAAAAAAAAAAAAAAAAAAAAGATACATCAGTAAGTCCCCTGAAAATCTGCAGCCTCGGGCTGTAATCTAGAGGGGAGAGAGCTATTTCCTATTCGTTCTGAGCTCGTGAGCCAAGCACTGTGCTGTTCCTGTCCATCAGTCTCTCCAGAGCTTTGCTCAGCCTCCCCCAACTGCCCCTAACCCTTTTCTTCCTTTTTGGTTATTTGGCAAAGAGTAGTAAATCTAGCTACTACTTTTTGTTTAATTTTGTATCTAAAAGTGAACTTTACATGGAGATAGTGACACTATTTCTAATGAGGCTGCTATTTTCATTGCTGTGTTTGCCCAACAGAGGCATTTGTAACTCAGAGTTAGTCTAATTCATGTTCAAGTCTCATTGTTATAGATGTTGGGAGACCTTCATTACTGATTGTTTTCTGTGGTGGTAACCTCAGCAATTTGGGAACACACACCAAAACCAGGCTGACTGGCTTAAAAGTCCTCCATAGAGTTAAGATATCTGATTTAATTAACGGTTTCAGCTTGCTGTTGCTTTTGGGAGGAGTGAATTTCAGAATTGTTATGAGAGTTGAGAAACTCAGACAAATTTTTTTTGGAGAAGTGACTAACAGCACTATGGAAGGTAATAATGTATATTTGTTAAACTTACCTTTTCTCTCCTTAAAGGCTATTTTTAAGAATTAAACCTTTGAGTGTTCTGTTTTGTTTAGTCTGTTGGATATTTTCCTTTGGGTTCAGATATTTGTTTATTGATCCGGAGAGTGTGACAACTAGAGGAACAATTTTCGAGTGATTGCATTTGCACTCAGTGGTTGCTGTTATGAAATGGTGATTAATGCTCCAGAGAAAGCAACAGAATGTATTCACCTTTTCTTTTCCCTCACAGTTCAGATGGAAGACAATCCACGTGTGGCTCAGGTGTCCATCACAAAGTGTGGCTCTGACATGAATGGCTACTGTTTGCATGGGCAATGCATTTACCTGGTGGACATGAGTGAAAATTACTGCAGGTAAAAGGCCAAAACTGAACAAGAAGACTTCAAGATCGTATTTCTCCCTCTTAGATTTTTAAGTTGTAATCTCATGGGCTATTAAAATGTAGTTTACATATATGCCATTAGCAACTGTAGAGGCTTTTTTTTTCTTTCTTTTATTTTTAATTAGGAAACAAAGTGCAGCTTTCAGAATGTGCAGAGAGCTGAGGGGTACAGCATGGAAAGAGTTTCAGAAGCCTTCCTCACTCTTCTGCTGTGACAGTAGCTCCACCTTTACATATTTTCACAGGGCTGGTGTAGCCACTGTTGTGTTAAGAGTTGATTCCTGGCCGGCGCCGCAGCTCACTAGGCTAATCCTCCACCTAGCGGTGCCGGCACACCGGGTTCTAGTCCCGGTCGGGGCGCCGGATTCTGTCCCGGTTGCCCCTCTTCCAGGCCAGCCCTCTGCTGTGGCCAGGGAGTGCAGTGGAGGATGGCCCAGGTGCTTGGGCCCTGCACCCCATGGGAGACCAGGAAAAGCACCTGGCTCCTGGCTCCTGCCATCGGATCAGCGCGGTGCGCCGGCCGCAGCGCGCCGGCCGCGGCGGCCATTGGAGGGTGAACCAATGGCAAAGGAAGACCTTTCTCTCTGTCTCTCTCACTGTCCACTCTGCCTGTCAAAAAAAAAAAAAAAAAAAAAGTTGATTCCAATGATTGGGAAAGAAAGCATCTAAATCCCACAAAAATCACAAAGCATCATCCTAGAGAACCAGCCACCCTTGCGGTTGAACAAAACTGGCATATGCTACCACAATTCAGCCTGCAAACCACGTGGAGCCCTCTTCTCAATGTTGACCCAACTGTAGAATCAATCTTTGAATCCATCTTTACAACTTTTAGTAAATATCACGGAGTTTCCACATTGCAGTGTGAAATTCATTCCTACAAAACTAATTCATATTCATGAAGTCTTTCTTAAATAACTGATTTTTCTCCCATACTACCCTTTAGGTGTGAAGTGGGCTACACTGGAGTCCGATGTGAACACTTCTTTCTAACCGTCCACCAACCCTTGAGCAAAGAATATGTGGCTTTGACTGTGATTCTTATCATCTTGGTTCTTGTCATCATTGCCGGTTCCATATACTATTTCTGCAGATGGTAAGTCAGTGTATTTTTGCACTCCACTTTTATAAATTATTTTCAAACAACGTGAATCCAAACATGGCAAAAAATTGAACAAAGTACCAAAGAAAGATAACCTGCACCGATGTTATTTACCAAGATATTTTACCTGCTGAACGGCTGAATTTAACTCATTTATTATCTCTATTCCTCATTACCTATGTGACCCTGTGCATCCAACTGGAAGTATGAGCTCCTTCCTCTATAAAATATAGATATATTTTTATCATCAATAATTACAAAGTTTTTTTTAAAGTACTAAATATAACACTGTACAGGTGAGAGTGAACCAGAAAGCATGATGGTGTTCCTACACTTAGCTCCTTGAATCTAATTTATTAGGTTGGGGTGGGTATTTGGCATACTGGTTAAGATGCCAGTGTCAGCTGGGATACCTACATCCCATGTTGGAATGCCTGGGTTTGAGTCCTGGCTCCACTTCCAGTCTAGCCTCCTGCTCATGTGCGTCCTGGGAGGTAGCAGATGATGGTTGAAGTACGTGGGTCACTGCCACCAATATGGGAAGCCTAGACTGAGTTCTAGGCTCCTGGCCTTGGTATGCTGCAGCCTCAGCTATTGTGTGCATTTGTGGAGTGACCCAGAGGACGGAAGATCTCTCTTCCTCTGTCTCTGTCTCTTTTTCTTTCTTTCTGTCTCTCTTTTCAAATAAATAGAAATAAATGAATAAAAAATGAAAAAAGATGATAGCTTACTGAATGAGTGAATATTCTGAATTGCAATATACCTATGAGACCCTGGGCAGTTACATAATCTGTTTGTACTTCATTTGCTTCATCTATAAAATGATAATGATAATGGTAATTATGAGGATAAAATAAATAATACTTACATAGCACTTAAACCTTGCCAATCACCTAATTAATGCCTGATAAATGCTATTATGATTTGGATTGGTGATATCAATATATTAGTGTGATGGGCAGAATATAGTAATGTAGGGTGATATTTGAAATACTAGTTCTTTAATAGAGTGACTGAAATAAGGAAAGAGAAAGAGGGAGGGAGGGGAAGAGGGAGAGACAGATGGGCTGGAAAGAGAGAAAGAGAGAGAAAGCAGGCAAAACCCAGGTTCAAAGGTGGTCACATGTCTCCTGCAGTTTCACAATATTCATGATCTGGTTTGAGCCTCTGAGAAGTCCTTTAACTGCTTTACCTTTTCCTTCTGAAATTGTTTCATGAGCAAATCCTGCCCCTTCTTCCCTCCTATCATCTTGTCAACCTAAACCTGTTCACATTTGTCATTTTGGAAACTCTATGTGAATGTACATTTGAAATCTATGTATTTGTTTTCTCTTGTTGTTAATATACTTTGCTCATATTGCTACTGATTATAGGCCTAACAGTTTTATTTCTGAATATTTCCAGGTATAAAAATCGAAAAAGTAAAGAAACAAAGAAGGAATATGAAAGGGTGACCTCCGGGGATCCAGCACTGCCGCAAGTCTGAATGGCGCCATTCACCTATGGGCAGGGATGCATAACTTGCCTGGTTAATGATCGATTCCTATTTTATTATTAATATTTATATTGGGTCACATGTTAGGTCAACAACTGTATATTTTTAATGTACTTGGAAAATGTTTTTATTTTTTTTGACAATTTGCTAAGATATAATATGTAAAGTATATTTAATACCAACAGGGAATTGATATTTTTGTAAGAAATAATTTCCTGAGCTGAATGCTTCATTGAAAGCTCCAAAGCTTTTGCGCCTGCTACACAGTGCTTAGGAGTGAGTAGTGCCCAGTTTGTGGCTGAGAAAGTGACAGATTTCTGTAAGCCTAAATATATCATAAAATTAATTTAAATAGTATATTTTTAGTCCTCAAATCAATGATAATTGGTTTGACTATAGCATGGTTTGATAATAAGAGTTGGCACTGCTGTGTCATTTATTAAAATAAGAATGCAGTTGGAGAGTGAGAGAAGCAAACACAGGTCATGTGCTACACAGGACACATTTGTAACACACAGAGCTGGGAAGACCTTGACCTCTGAATCCTCACCTCAGCTGTCATTCAGAAACTAGGTATTGGGAAGGGACTTGGGTGGTTCCCTCTGCCAGCCTGCACTCCTGCAGGTACCAGCTGCTCAGCAACAGATTCTCTTGGAGTCAAATGAACTGAAAATCTTAATTTTTTGTTATAGTTCATGTGATAAGTATTTCATGGTGTCACAAAGTTGCATTTTCGTGTAGATGATATTTAGGTGATATAATTGCTGTACATAAGACAACTAGAAAAAAAAATCCACACTTGAAGCTAAGATTTATGCTTTTTTAGAGTATTTATTTTCAAAGACAATTTGTTGAAGAATTCTGAGATGAAATCAATTATTATTATTTTATAATATAATGACAATAGCTCTTTGTATTGTCTAAAGATGGAAAGTAATTTCATTTTCGATTCAAGAGAATTTTAATCTAAAAATAGATCAATAAACAGCCGCTTCTAGAATTTAAAACTACATCTTCATACAAATGGGAAAAATAGAAAAAAAATCAATGTATTTTTCCAAATGAGAAACTCATCTGAAAGATTTTAAAATTAGACACTTCACCCAACCTTCCTACAGAGGCTGACATGACCAGAGCCCCTTTTCTGTTATTGTTTGTGTTTTGGAAGAGAGAGGTTTCTTCTGCACTCTGAGCCCATAGGTTGAAGTGAGTTAATAAGAGTATTTTGGACCATTGCATAAGGAGCCATAGCTGTCACTACCTTTGGATTCCATGGGAGTCTGCCTCACTGAATGCTAAGCCTTTGGACAGTCTCTCTGGATCACATACCAGGTCAGGGAGGATCTGTTCTTCCTCCACTTTTTTCCAGGCATGTGCTAAGGTAACAAAGAGATAATAAGCCATGGCTGACCTTGGATAAATGGGTGCCGCGGCTTTCCTCCCTGTATATCTATGCATTGTATACAGTGATGTGTTCACAGACACTCATCTAGCATCTGGCTCTGCCTTTTGCTATTAAGGAAACAAGCAGAGAAAATGAACAAAAAAGTATAAAAATACAAATCATATACAAAAAACATAGATGTCCATGAAGTCAATCAATTAATCATAGAGTTGCAGTCACTTGTTGCTTTGCTAGCCAATTTATAAGACTTAAGAACAAGAAAAAGGGAAATAGAATAAAAAAAGTGAGATCTAAAAGTTTATTTCATTTCCCACTTAATATAGCAGAAGTCAAATATGCTACAGAAAAAGGTTTTAAATCTTATACACACTAATAGATATAAAGGAAATCTTTCTATTTTCAGTGATCCTTACTATTTCAAAGAAAACTTATTGACTAATCAATAATGAAATAAGTTATTTATATAATAATAATGAAATAAGCTATTTCATTTACAAAAGCATCTCCATATTGGTATTGGACTATTTAAGTACCTCAAATTATATTAAATAAGTAAATCCAAGTAGTTTGGTTTTTTTTTTAAGGAGTATTTATTTATTTGGAAGGTAGAGTGACAGAGATAAAGGAGAGAGGCAGAGACAGAATGCAATCTTCCATCCACTGGCTCACTCCACAAATGGTTGCAAAGGCCAGGGCTGGGCCAGACTGAAGCCAGGAGCTCCACCCAGGTCTCCCCATGGATGTCAGGCATCTAAGTACTTGGGTCATTCCCCATTGCTCTCCCAGGCACACCAACAGGGAGCTGGATTGGAAATGTAGCAGCCCGGACTCGAATCAGCACTTTTGATATGGGACGCTAACTTACTGTGCCACAATATCAGACCCAGTTTGGGGTATTTATGTTTATTTAAGAATGCTCACAAAATCAATCCCTGAAAGTTAAATTTGTATTGCTAAGTTCTTATTAAATAATAAAAATATGACCTTAATTTCTTTATATGGGTGAAAATTACTAAAAAGATTATTATTTTGTTATTGTAATGTCAAGTTAGCCATAAAAATGATTGAGAACATCTCTGGCTCATATTTAGACTCTCCCTCAGTTTATAGATTTCTAAGAGAGGGCTATGTATCTTTGGGAACTAAAATAACCCAAATGTATAAATGCATAATTACACTCTTCCTTCCAGTTGACACATAATAACCCATCTGAGACATGCTGTAATCAAGGACACAGAGTTCTCTGATTGGTACTAAAGATTTAATCTTAGAGCTGAGATTAATTTACTATGTGAAACATTTGCAATACAATGTAACTGCACTGTTCTCCTAGACAGGCTCATGTTCTCATCCCTGCCAAAAGTCAAATCAATGGTACTGATGTACTGGTATAACTTTATCTTCACACACACTCTTATTTTTTGAGTCCTTGAAAAAAGAGCTAGCTAAATTCAATTGCCATGGATATTCTACAAATTTGTATGTGGCTAACATTTGGTACTAGTGTCTAATTTCTGTTGAATTCAATAATGCCATTTTAAAAAACTCATGCAAAATAATGCAATCTGTCATTTTTGCTTCAAACTCTATTCTGTAGACATTAAAAACATGTGTTTGATTTGCTGTCCAGTGGTTTATGATTTTTTTCCTACTCTTACATGGGAGAAGGGGGAGTAACTTGTTTTATAAACAATGTTTCTGCTGTATATTTTAATGTTTTAACTAAAGAATAATTTTATCCAGAACATGTCTGATATTCAAGTTTGATGATGTTAAATGTATATAATATGTTTTTCTCTTTGCTTTATTTTGCACTCTGTAATTGCACTTTGTAAGTTTGAAGAACCATTTGGTATACATTTTCTATTAAAGATGTTATGGAACATAAAATTGTATTGTATGCAGTTTAAAGTAACTTATCTGACTTTGAATTTTGTCAGAGTACTGAATTGTATCAATTTGTTTGTGTTCAATATCAACTTTGATAATTGTGTACCTTAAGATATTGAAGGAGAATATAGATAATTTACAAGATATTATTAATTTTTATTTATTTTTGTTTGGAACTGGAAAAAGACACAATTGAAAAATAAAAATGCATTAAGTGCCATGCATTAAAAATCTATACTGACAATCGTCTCTTTCTTCATTTTTTTCCCTTGGCCATTTTTATTCGTGGTACTTTTGAGTGTTTAAAAACAGTGGTCTAGTTTTAGTGTGCATAGAGATAAAGACATAATGGTCTTATTCTGGAAAGCATTTTGTAAATCAGTCATATTATATGGCCTATCATAGTGAAGAATTCCTGAAATACAAATAATATTGATTATAAAATTCTAGGTATTAGTATCTTTAAAAGAATTATTGGTTTATTTATTTATGAAGCAGATAGAGAAGGAAAGAGAGCACTCTCATTTGCTGATTCACTCCCCAAATGCCCTGCAGCCCACTGCTGAACTCAAATCTAGGTCTCCAGCACATGGCACTGAGCCACCATTTGCTGCCTTAACAGGAAGGTGGAGTAGGGAATGGGGCTGGGTTTGAATACTGTCGCTGTGATGAGGAATAAAGGGATCCCAACTGCTAGGTCAAATGCTTTCCCATAAGTGTTAATATTTCTAAAAATAGTATTTTGAAAAGAACTTTAAAAGAGTATTTCTGAGGAGAACAGATGGCCTATGGAGAAGTAATTTTAAAATATATTTTTAAAAAGATTTATTTATTTATTTGAAAGGCAGAGTTACAGAAAGGCAAAGGTAAAGACAGAGAGAGAGGTCTTCCATCTGCTGGTTCACTTCTCAAATGGATGCAATGGCCAGAGCTGGGTTAATCAGAAGCCAGGAGCCAGGAGCTTTTTCTAGGTCTCCCATGTGGGTGCAGGGGCCCAAGCACTTGGACCATCCTCTACAGCTTTCTCAAGCTGTAGCAAAGAGCTGCATAAAAGTGGAGCAGGTGGGACTTGAACTGGTGCCCATATGGATGCTGGCACTGTAGGCAGCAGATTTTTTGTAATTTTCATTGTAGAGATCTTTGACATCATTGATTAAATTTATTCCAAGGTATTTATTTTTTTGTAGCTATTGTGAATGGGACTGATCTTAGAAGTTCTTTCTCAGTCATATCATTATCTCCCTAAATGGAAACAAAATATTACAAAATATAAGTGCTGTTCATTAGATTCTAGCATGGATTCAATAAGAAATAAACGTGGATTTTTGTTGAAGATTTTATTCATTTATTTAAGAGGCAGAATTACAGACAGAAAAGGAGAGTCAGACAGAAATGTCCTCCATCCACTGGTTCACTCACCAAATGGCTGCAACAGCTGGAGCTGGGCCAATCCGAAGCCAGGAGCCAATAGCTTCTTCCCGGTCTCCCACATGGGTGCATGGGCCCAAACAATTGGGCCATCTTCCATTGCTTTCCCAGGCCATAAGCAGACAGTTGGATCAGAAGAGGAGCAGCTGAGACACAAACCTGCACCTATATGGGATGCCATTGCTACAGGTCGAGGCTTAGCCTACTACATCACACTGCCAGCTCCACCTGTAGATCTTTTAAAAATATCTTGTCTGGTCACCAGCTAAAGGTAGCAACTACCATATGAAACCAAACAAAGATATTCCATTTAGCTTATCTGAATTTCAGAAAAATACTTGGGAAAAGTGTTTCCCAAATTCTGTATGTGCTTGCTGTACAATACATCTATTTAGAAAACAAACTTGGGATCATTAATGAGATAATGTGAGTGGGACTGGAACCAGCACCTATGTGGAATGCTGGCACCACAGGTGGAGGCCCAACCTATATGCCACAGTACTGGCCCTGCTGTACTTCTTGAGTATAAGTGATGAACAAGACAGAAAAGCCTGAAATTTATATTTTAATAGGAACAAAAATAAAATAAGTACCAACTGCGATAATAGTGGCAAACACTTACATAAAGCTTACTATTTGCTGTTAAACTTTTAAGGTATGATTACTTTAAATTCTTTTTTTCTCTCCAGAAACATTTATTTAAGGTACACAAACTTCATGCATTTCATTAATATAACTTTAGGAACATAGTGATAGTGATTCTTCCTACTTTAAATTCTTATAACAATCTCCGGAGTTACAGAACTCTTTGTATGAGATAAATTTTCAGATTATGAAATTGAGGCACAGACTACCTTGCCTAAGGCTTTGTGGGTAATGATAAGGTATATAACCTGCTATGATGTCAGGGCAGCGTTAACTAGAGTGGTCATCTCTATGGGGAATGGAGATAGATGAGATGAACTTGGCAATGCAGATGTGGGAGCCAAATTATCCTAGGACTGAATCAGTAATTGAAGGGCTTTCACCTTCAAAAGACAGTAAGATCTGAGTGACCCAGAGCACGTTCCATGCACAGTAGCATAAGAAGTAAATAGGTGGTCATGGGTAGATTCTTTGTACGGTTTAGTCTTTGGTATTTGTCTCTTATTAAAAATGCAATAAGAAACCAATAAAGGACTGGGGATAGGGAAATAATGTAATTTGTATTACAGATCAGTCTAAATGCTCCATGGTAAACAGAAATAAAGAAAACAGAAGAAAGAAAAGCCTGAAGCTGGAAGATAAGGTGGATCTTCTAATCATTCCTTGAAATTAGAAAATGGCTAGAAAGATATTGTAGCAATAGAGGCAATAAGGAAATATTGGGCTTGAGATATCTATAAAATATACTATAAACCAACAGGACTTACTGGTGGTTATCACCAAAAGGTCAGTTATGAGAACATAATGACATGAAAGTCAGGAGAAAGGAAAAGTACAAGATTTATAGTAATAGTCAACACTGTCTATCATAAAAGAAGCACACTTGAAAAAAAAAATGAGGAAAAGGGAAATGCCACTGGTTTTGACTTCTAAATGTCCTGAAGATTGAAAGAGTGTTTTCAGGGGCTGGCACTGTGGTGTAGCAGGTAAAGCCCCTGCCTGCAGTGCTGGCATCCCATATGGGCGCCAGTTTGAGTCCCAGCACTTCACTTCCTATCCAGCCCTCTGCTATGGCCTGGGAAAGCAGAAGTAGAAGATGGCCCAAGTTCTTGGAACCTTGCACCTGCGTGGGAGACCTGGAGGAAGCCCCTGGCTCCTGGCTTCGGATCGGAGCAGCTCCAGCCCTTGTGGCCACTGGGGAGTGAAACAGCGGATGGAAGACCTCTCTCTCTCTCTCTGCCTCTCCTCCTCTCTCTATGTAATTCTGACTTTCAAGTAAAATAAATAAATCTTTTTTTAAAAAAAGAAAGAGTGTTTTCAGTGGGTGATGAAGGTGGAGGCTAGATTTGAGTTGATGGTGGCTCCTGGAGAAAACACTTACCTAGAATTTTGGCTGTAAAGAATAGAAAACACAAGCTCTGAACTGCTTAGTTGTTGATTTTATAGTTTTTAGGTTTATCAGACTCTGCTTTTTTCTCAGGTTCTTCTAAGCTCGTCAAAATCAGTAGTAAAGGACAGCTGACAGGGAAGAGACTATGATCATTGGCTAGAATAGAAGCTGGAAGTTGGGAATACCCATTGGACTGCACTTCCAGTCATCTCTGGCACTCATACCACAGATAACTGAGAGTTGGCACTCGCCCTGAGTTTCAGGACAGGATCCAATGTGTGTGAGTCATGTACTTACACAAGATGCAGGCTAGATTACAGAGAGAGAATCTGGCTGTGGGAATATAAATAAGCCCCTTCTCAGTAGGTAGGGCCTCTTTATATATGGGTTGGGCTATGGAACAGAAAGCTGAATTGAAGAGCACTTGGAAGCTATAATAAAAATTCATTGCCCTTCAATGCACATGATGGCTTCTAGACCTGTTGGTAGTGTCATATAATTTAGATATCAGGAATAGGAGTTTTCAGGTTAATGGATATAAATCTTAGTGGACTTTTCAGAGGTAACAATTTGTTCTTGATATGAGACTGCAAAATTTAGCAATAAATTGCTACATTACAACATTGTTTCTGCCTTTTAAATTTCTTTCTCCAAAGATTCTCCAATGGTCTATAGCCTCCATGATGCTATTTCAGCTGGGGCCCAACCTCCAGTAGTTTATATTTTAATATATGTTTTTCTTTTTCTGGCCCCAAA